CGGTTTTTGGAAACGGGCAACTAGGCGACAACGCCAAAATGTGGGAAAAGGGCAAGAATAAAATAAAAGATAGGTTCTGGTGTTGCAAGGTAGGCAGGGCAGCACGTTCTGCAGCAGGAAAAATAGTTAAAACCATCGGAACTGCAGAAGTGTTTTTTTTTGGGGGGCGGGGGCAGATTAATTGCTACGAAATGTACAGCAGGTGCATTGATTTCTTGAACATAAGGAAATATTTATATATATTGTCACAAAAGAGGGTTTTAACATGATTCCCAATATTAACGATATATCGTAGGCAATAGTTGAAGGCTATATACGGCCTGCTGTAATATATGATAGAATATTCTGTAATTTTTCTCTGCATTCATATTTCCTAGACTAACAACAAAACATGCTCGCTTTATGGCTCACCTAGACATTACAATAGCTCAAAGGTTCATTAGTTTAAATTACTAGGTTTGCCCGGATCTATCGATCGTTTATTCCCGGTTGAAGCATCCTTTTAATTAACATTTAGTTTTGCAGATGACGTATTCTGGTACATGTGAAAATGAGCTTTGCAATTTCAAAATTTGTAACTTTCTGTTAATTAAATTTCACATATCATAAAGTGTATCATATAATTATAATTATAATATGTATTATTCCGTGTGATTGGCATATCATTTTCAATTATTTCCAACCATAACAACAACAACAACGGGTTATTGGTAGGATGTCAAATCTCAAACTAATTAGAGTGATATCTCGTTATCATTGTCATGATGTGGCCGAGTGGCACATCTTCACATGAAACACAATCAGTTGATTAAGTACGCAAGAAGGAGGCGATAATGTTCAAATGATCCCATGGTCAATCTCAATCGTGACTACAGCGTCTTAACTACTGGCAGCCATCGCCCCGCGGCATGTTAGATGATTAAAGCCCTTATTGAAGATGAGTGAAAGAAAGCGATCATTGCTCCCCGTAATAGCACTACGTGCAATTTAAAAAGTCGATAGAAGGGCAGTACAGTGATTTTGCCAGGGGATATATTGGCAGTCCCTATGTGATACTTGCTTTTCGAAAGTACTATCATGATATTCATACACTTTAGACGTCCTGCACTGGGTATAATTTCAATAAGGTACAAAGGAAAAGTATTTATGAATGATTTAAATGCTGCATGAGAATGCTCTTCTGAACATTGCGTCTTTACAGGATATAAATGTAGGACCTGATATATTGTTTCTGGCGACCCGCATCTGATCTAACAATATTTTAATTTGCTTCGCTGTGTTTCTTTTACATGATAACGGACCAATCAGCTTTTCTCAAATGCTTCAGTTTAACTAACATCTGTACAACTGTATAAAACAGATTCATATGTTAGCCCAGCAAAACAATACAATATCCTAGAAACAAGTTAAACATTTACATTACGTGACCACCATGCATGTGGAAAATAACATGCAAAAATATCGACGTTTTGTGTATACAAATGCAGGACTCCTATGATTGGCATAATGATTAAAATCACCTTACTCTTACACATCATTATATACTACCTTGACGAGTATTTAAAAAATGGGTATTAATAGTTATGAATAAACACTCAACACTCTTATTTGTTCAAATCTCGCCGCATAGTTGCGGAACGTGTGGCAAGAGATATTTAATAAATAGAAATGTTTAAAAAGAGTAATGTATTCATCATTGCAAAATGGCATAAGTCTCTTAGATAAAAAGCATAGATTCCCTATTGATTGTCGCTCAGGTAGGGATACGAGCGGTCGTTTCCTGTAATATATAGTTGCCTTGGTTCTTTGTTTATTATCCTGATCATTGTTTTATGTGCAATGTAATATCTTGTCGGGACAGTGTAGCATCTTAGCTTATCAATAAAATCACTCTTCTTGAAGCACGGACGTATATAGAATCCAAATAATCCAACATCGGCTTCCCTGACCCCCTCTTAAGTTACAGTTACGAGTGCCTTTCCTTTTTACTCTCCTAAAGTGATATAAATCACAATAGGACATTATCCGTTTTATGTTCTGTCTATTTGGAGCTACATCGTAACGCTACAGCAGTTATAGATCAGCTGGTGTTTAGTGAGTTATACACAAAGCTTCCGACTACCTCTAACATAATTAACACTGTCCACCTGCGGTCGTGGATAACATTGATCTTTATCAATGTAGGTTTCGTGTTACAGGGTAGACTCTGTCCTGGAACAGGATACATACACATTTTATACGGTGTAGTTTTTGTCCAGAAAGTATCGCATAGAAAAGCTGTAGCAGCTTGATGTAAGTCTAAAATTGTCAACTTCAGACGTTTAATGAGTTTTGCCTTTCACTAGAAACGTCAGCAATGGTTAATTAGAAGAAAAAAAAATATTTTTTCCTCACAATTAAACCTTGTTTAAAATTTTACGATTTGTATATATGTATCTTAATAATGTATGCTATCTTAATAAGACATGATTTTTATCCAAGGAGTTCTTACACTAGCAATGAAGACATTGTTAATTTGTTTGTTTGTTTGGAGTTTTTTCATGTTCGCAATGGCTACGGCCTTGAGATGAAACCCCAAACATGCGACCAAATCAAATAAGTCCCCAAAGAAAAGATAGAGAGAACGAGTTTTCCAGGAGCTACAGCAGTGTATTTATGGTATCTCATGCGTATCTGATATACGAGCAAAACCTCGGCAATGCCCTTAACGAGTGTCAACCAATCAGATCACGTAGACCATCTGATCCTGTTCTTGTGTCGATGTAATCTAATAACTCTTTGTTCTTTCAACATTTACTCTTCCCCTTTATAATTTTGATAAAGTATCAATACGTACTAAAATGCCATGGTCTTAATAATTAATGTAAAGTTAATCGATGCGTCTCTAGCTGCAATCACAGGACATCTCTGGTTCAAAGTAAGTCCTTAACTTTTATAAATTGACAAGTTTCGTATTAAAGAGTTGGAAGTTATTTTGATACATAGTAATGATTTATGTACATACATTTATAAAAAGATACTACGTAATATAAACATTCATTTAAAGCATTTTATTGAAAATCAAATTATTTTAGAGAAAACTGCGACGATTCGATATTCGTCAATCTCCTTATAGTCGTTGCTCGCTCCATTGTTAGTGCATATACCTTCCGCTTCACTGAAGGTCTTATTTGGAATTTGAGTGGTAAATTGAATTTCTGTAAATTGTGATATTGCCAATGGTCATACAAAGGCATTTTTAATGAAAGGCCCTTACCGTCCTAGATAGAATACTGTGTCCACTTCAAGGTCTGACCTTTTGGTAATTCAAACAACCCGACACACCATTACAAACAAAACAGGTTTCGACAATAGTTCTGAAAGACTTGCATAACGGTTTGGGGAAAATGACTGTCAATACATTTTTATTGTTGAATTTTCCAATATTGATCAGATTAAGAATATTCAAATGAAATTCCGTATTACCTTTGAATCAAACTTTCACGAGGACTTTTTATCATGGTTACTTTATAACTTAATATCATAGCTTATGCATATCCTATCACAGCTTGCATGAAATTCTAGCTTGATATTATTCTTTGTAGTTCTACATGTCTCGATTTACTGTAGGTTTCGGCACACACATTTCGTTTAACTCGAATATTGCCAAATGGTGAAGTAATCGTTCCTATGTTTAGCTTTCTACATCAAAATAGTTTTGCTAGGTTTTTTTATATCATTTACAAACTTTTCCAATGTAATCAACCTGAACTTATATTGATGATGGAATACGCAAATGTAAACAATAGTGATTTCAATTACTCATGATACATGTACAACGTGCAGTAATTCTGTCTATAATCAAAACGAAAGATAAAGCAACTTGATACTTGTACTATGAGTATTTGTCGATTTTTCATCAGTTTTTAAACTCAATTTAGATTGGTGCCAATGTGTTACTCTGGCGTCTGCTCAGGTTTTGTAAGATATCATCGTAATAAAATAGAATACGTTTAGTGAATTTATCTTTACCGAAGGACAAAATATATAATATTACTGATTGGTTGTTAAGTGTTGACGCTTTTATATCTTTTACCATATAATCTGAGTTTTATTAATTCTTCTCTGTGACAAAGTATTTGAATCATATTTTCGAGAGGCCACAAACAATGAAACATTATTTGGTGTTCGTCCGGATTGCTGTGAAGTCTGTAACATTTGAATCCCGATATTGGACAATTTGTATCGGTCATAAAAAAAGTATCACAGAATAATTGTACAGATTTTGTTTATTTCTTGACAGTGCTTGGAAAGTATCGGATTTCCGTGTCAAATGTAATCATAAATGTGTGCGCTATACGTGAAATGTTAAAATCAACAGATCAGGAGATTTAATTTAGGAAATTCAGTTTTTCGTAAGAATAATGCGACATGTTTTGAGCATAAATTTAACAGGGTTTAAATACCGATATTGCTGAATTTCAGTGAACACTTAAAATGTCAGCATTTAAGAAGCAGAATAAATAACCATGTAAACGAGTGAACACATGCTAGTAGATCAGCAGAAATTGAATCATGTTACAATATTACGTTATGTCTATCAATTAGTTTTTTTTTTTTTTTTATAAAAATACGTAACAGACGAAAACCGTTCACCTCGACCACCCAAGAACATAAATGTTGCTTTGAATGGCGTGTTATTTTTTACCCCAACACACACGTTTAAGGTTTAATGATGGACGTCAGCGTGTTTCATCACGTACTCAATTGTTTCAGTTCATGGTATATACCATTCCTCAGAACAATAAACATGGCTTTAAACAAATGGGATCGTTATATTCCTCCAAGTATGGAATTTAATATACACTTATGCTAAATTATAAAGATGAAACCTAGATACTAGTATTCTCCCTTTAAAAGAACTTAACTTATTTGTATATATTAAACGAGTTGTAGTGTGCTTTATGCTGTTGTCAGATTCTGTATTATTAGAATATTAAAAAATAAAAAGTACGACCTACCTTGATAGAACTGGTTCCGCCAACTGTCCTGAGTACACGCCGTGCGTACCTTGTTTTACTCAGGCTATCGTCACTTCCCGCTGAACGTCAGGTGATCACATTGGTGAACTCGCCGCAGATTCGGACTTATAAAGCCTGGCTAGGGACACAAGACTAAGTGTACACAACAGCACTCTGGTGATTTTATGAGAGAGCACACGTGAGATAAGAGAGAGAGAAACACCCACCCCAGCTTAGCCTACACCGTCAACAAGTCTTTCCAAGTGTGTGGCTAACTATCACTCTCCACTGTTATCAAATACGGCCATGCGTGGGTACAGAGGGTGTCATCGACTCAGGACGATTGGCCGCTTACGTGGTTAGCAATCTGTACAGGAGTAAAGCATATTCCCGTCAGAGAAACCAATAGGAACATGTTGGGAGTGCCTGCAACGGCCGGGCCGTTCATTTGTAGCGACTATGACGTGCTGCTTTAGAACAGAATGTTCTATGAAAATATAAGATGCGATCTTATTAATGATACACTTTTGTCATGGGTATATCATAGGTAGGACATCAGTGGAAACCCTAAGGCTTGCAATGATGTTATTTATCTGCCTCTCGTTAAGTGATGTTATATTGGCATTTACCTAAAGATTGGTAAATAGAGGTGATACTGAAACGTATAAAATGGAACAGTTAAAAACCTACTCGTGTTTATAAATTTAAATCCATACGTCATATTTTCTATCGATTTAACAAAGTCAAAGGGAATATAATTTCTATTTTCTTTGACAAACTTGAATCTATTGAAGATGAAGGTGAGCAATTGCAACCATCCTTTGATGTCTCAAGTTTTATATAAAAGGCATATGTCCCTCAATTCGTATTGGGTCCTACTGCCCTCATTACGTAGACTACAGTGGTAGTGGTACACCCTGCTGAGTCTTATACCCCTTCCTAGCACGTTTCCCTACCGGTTCTTTATAATCGTTATATATCTTTCACTTGAACACCTTAGATGGTCAACATAAAATACCACTGAAGTTTCAATAACTTGATTGTTTCTATCGGATCATTTCTTTAAAAAACAACCCTAACCGAAATTAAAAACATACTTCTCACAAGACAACAAACTAGCTCTGGGCGTTCGTGAGGTTCAGAGCGTTTGAAATCCGCGTTGCTGTGATGTTGAATTATAACCAAACAAAACAAACACAAACAAAACCCAGAGTCTGATAGGCAATGGTTCGACCTCCGGTGTCTGGGACAACTTGTGTCGGCTGTTAAAATAATTGTATTGACATCTTTCATTGTAGCGAAGGAATTCACCAGAAGTACAAAGAAGAAAACATGAAGGGTATGTTTTTTTCTTAAGATGAAGAAATATCCGGAACCCGGAGATTTATATCGGATCGAATTTTCATGTGCCATCAAACGGATTTTTACCCTTATCTTACACTCGATATTTAGATGGTCATTAGTTTAGCGATTCTTTCATGTATCTATCATTTTACAAATGAAATTAATTCCAAAATATTAGAAACTGCATAATATTTATAAGATCAGAAATTGTATTTCTGGAATGAAATAACTAAATGATGTCATTTTAAACAGTATATTGAGTGTCTCTTCAATCAAGCCATGAAACCTAACACTTTAAGTCGACTCAATGTTACATACACGTATCAACGACGCTGTTATATGATATGCAGCTTCACGTTATTTTGCAACTTTTGTTGCAAAGTCCTTAAAATTAAAAAGCATAGAGGTTATTCGCTGCAAAACGTTAAGCATATAGGGTAAGCGTAACCACTGGTTTACCTGGCATCAGACCGGCTCTATTCATTTCAACAAATTTTGTTGACAAAGTTGATACAAGTCAATTGGATGGAATAACAGGCATTGCCTATATAAATTTTCTCCAGCGGTGGCTAAATTAACGGATTGTGTTATTTTTATTTGATTTAATTAATATATCAATTTTGAAATGAAGATTATAAACAATAAAAAATAAAGGGATGAACTCCTTCTTGATTAACATAACTGAAATACAAATACATTCACACTTCTCACATCACACACAAAACACTTTCACAGGTATTATTTATTTTTATAACATTTTACAATGTATATAAGCTATATAGCTATCAAATCACACAGATATTGGCAGACTTTGACCAAAAATCTATGTGCAAATATATGCACAAGTCACAGTCGCAAAAACTGTTAAGTTATTATAATCTTATATGCAAACAGATAGCTAGTCTATTTTTAATTCAATGTATAAGATGGAAACTGTAAAACAAGACAGATTGAACAAATCTTACAACAAACAAACAACAAACATACATGCTCAACTTAAAACTCCTATGTCCGTAGAAGAATACCATTTATAGAAAAGTAGGTAAAGTTACTTATGTGTGGAGTATAATTGAAATAGGAATAGTAAAGTATAAAAGTATAAAGTATAAGGTCATGGCTGGTTAGATCGTATAGAGATTAAAACGCCTCGATTTACCAATAAATAACTGTACATCATTAAGTAACTGTCTGCTTGTTAGTCCATCACATTCAGGACAGCCTTGTGGAAAAATGTTTGTACCAATATGGTTATGACGTAAATAAAGTAAGTCTGAGATCATTAAAAAAAAGAAAAAAATGGAACACCTTTTCATATTCAAAAGAGCAAGCACAAGAGGGACAGTCAGTTAAATAGTCATTGAATAAATCAAAATTTAAATTGCTACAGAAGTTTCTAAGTTGACAAAGAATAATATTTGCCCGTCTATCACCTTCAGTTTTAAAAATTAAGGTTGATTCATTATCGATAATAATATCTTTATTCAGTTTGTGTTTAAAGGTTGCAAGAGTTGGGGAGTTTAAGAGATCATTATCAGTAGTGTTAGTTGTGCGGCACATTAGAGGGAGGAAACTGTCAAAATAATTGTTAGTTCTGCATATTGGTGGATTAAACAGTCTTGTTTGTCTGAGGAAATAGGGATTATTGTTTTGATTGTTAATGAAAGGATTTAAGACATCTTGTAAGTATTGAGGTGACAGCCCATGCATTATTTTATACATCATTATGTGTTTGTGTTTATTTCTTCTTGTTGACAGAGTTTCCCAACCAAGTTCATTATGAAGTTTATTATGAGATGTTCCAGATCGAAGTCCAGTAATGATTCTGGCTGCTTCTAAGTGAATAGATTCTAGAAGTTCTTTAGAGTGTTGAGTGCAATTATCCCATACAATGTCTGCATATTCCAAAATTGGCCTAATAAATGCTATATAAATTTTAATAAATGATTTACGATTGACTTTAGTTTTTATGTAACGAAGAATATTTAATCTACTATAAGCTTTTTCATATATATTCCGAATGTGTTGTTTCCAAGATGCATCATCTTTTAAAGTCAGTCCTAAGTGTGTATGTGCTGTTGAGTCAGTGATTTGGCTGTTTTGGAAAGTTATTGGAGGGTGATGTTTGTTATGTTTTCTAGAAAATTTTACATATTTAGTTTTGATATGGTTGAATTTGATGTCCCATATACCTGCCAAATTCACCAATGTTAGAGAGATCATTTGTCAGCGTCCGTCTACTTTTTCCTTTAAAACGCTACTAGTCCTGAACGGCTCAGAGGATTTTGACCAAATTTGGTCTGGATCATCATTGGCCAAAGGGTTCTCAGTTTTGTATAAACGGAGTTTATGGTCCCCCTGGGGGCAGAGGGGAGGGCCTAATAGGGGAGAAATAGGTAAATCTTTAAAAAATCTTCTTCTTCTCAACCAAAAGAAGAATTTTGACCAAATTTGTCCTAGAGCATCTTTGGACAACGGAGCCTCACGTTTGTATAATTGGAGGGTGTGGCCCCTCTGGGAACATAGGGGCGGGGCCCAATAGAGGAATGCTTATGGACAAAATAATCAATTTTGTATAAACTGAAGTGTGAGTGTGGGGCCCATTAGGGGAAATAGAGGAAAACATTAAAGATCCTTCTCCTTCTGTACCGTTGAAGAGATTTTAACCAAACTTGTTCCAGAGAATCTTTGGGCAACGCGAATTGAATATTTATAAATGAACACGGCATCCCTGCAGGCCGAGGATCGGGAACAATATAGACCTGCTGTACGAACTGCATTAAAGAAGATACCTTAAAATGACCTTTGAGACGCCCAATCATCTTTGGATACTATCTTCAAATGAACCTAGCTTTGTGATTACGCAAAAATCCAATCAACCTGGACACAGTAACGCAACACAAAAAGCGAGCACACTCAAACAATGACACGCCATCACGTGACTGGCCTATATATTGATCATGACCCGTGCATACTAGTGTTATTACGTACAGGCGAACCGTCTTCTAACCGATTTTACAGTCTAAACACGCTCTCACAGGTGTGAGCATGAACAAAATACTAACAATCCATACATTGTCACTTTACAGTATAAAAACAGCAATTATCTCATACATAGCTAATTCATTTTCTCTCCTTCACCGTTGTAAAAGTTCAATTTCCGGTTTAGACTCTGCTATTACAAATCGAATCCGTCTTCGTTACATCAGTAAATCATATTCATCCAAGTTATAAATATTGGTGACATCCGCCTTGCCCAGACCATACACGACTGTTAGACACTGATCCATGCATAAGTGACTTCAAGAATATTCAAGAGTATTGATTAAAGACGTAAAATATTAGAATGTGCTTCTTTATGAAATCGTTTGGACTCGTTGGACCGTCTCCAGAGAGTCAAAATAAAGCTTTCAGCCTTTTTACACGGAAAGGGAGCCACATAACAAGGCCACGAAGTCCTGGTACTAGGTACCAGTGGAATACAGTAGAACAGAATTATACAGGTCTTGTGGTAATTATCTAGTGTACCTTTAGGAATGTGTGCTACCATTCGTGCCTAAAAGACTACTCATGTTATAGTCTGGCGCCATACGGTCGGTTCCGAAAATATACAACGTTACTCTTAGACGGAAAGTGATGTTTTAACAAGTCATAAGACCTATTTTGTATATGCCCGTCAAATTTGACGGGAGTATTATGGTATGGGTTAGTCCGTCTGTCCTGCGTAAACTTTTGCTTGTCCGGCATTCTCCTCCTACATTTTTCCACCGATCTCTTTGAAACTTGGTAAACATTATAGTCATGATATGAAGTTGTGTCCCCCTTTAAAAGAATTTTGATTCGAAATTTGTGCCAAAGTTATTGCCCTTTGTTTATTTCAGTATTTGATTTTTGTCCGGCAATCTCCTCCTACATTTTTCAACGGATCTCTTTGAAACCTGTTATACATTATCATCATGATGTGAAGTTGTGTCTCCCTTTAAAGAAATTTGATTCCACGATTGTTGCAAAAAGTGTTGCCCTTTGTTCATTTCAGTATTTG